TGCATATGAGCTGAACTTCACCACTCAAGAGCAGGATCTGGGTGTTACGATAGAAATGCTGTGATGCTAGAGGTCTATATGGCTTCAAGAAGATGCTGACCAAATTCAGGGAAGAGAAATAGAGACATCTCCAGCTCAGACGGTTCATAAGCTACAAATAACTGGAGACTGGAAACATATTGGGGGGAAGTTGGATTTACCAATCTTTTTACAGTTTCTTCTAGACATGTGTTTGTGACACAGCTGGAGATAGGATATAGGGCAAAATGAACTAGTCCTACCCAGTACAATTATTCTTGTGCACTTTTTCTACCTTTCCCTCAACAGAGAAGGAGATTTTGTTAATGTTCCTATCTCCCTCCTCACAGTAATGTTCATTGTTTCTGTATGACCTTAACTTTGAGTCCTTTTGCACCTTCTGCCCTGTCTGTCAGATCTGGTTAGGAGGTTTAGAAGTTTAGTCAATAGATTAACGGTGTTTGAACAATAACATTTCTTTAGAAGAAATTAAAAACAGCATTTTAACCTAGAAATGCAGACCCATAGAAAGCAATACTGTCCAGATTAAATGTGTTTGAATATGAATCTGAAGGCCAAGCCTCAGACCAGCCTTCACTTTAAGTATATTTGTAGTACAACCTAGGAAAAAATATAAGTATTGGACCCGATCTATCAGATAATGCCTATAGATCATAAAAGATTAAATAAAACTCCCTGATGAGCAGCTTTTTTTCTTGAAATAGTCCCATGGTATGGGCAGATAAGGCATTTCCAATGTGGAAAGAAGGAATTCCAGATGCAAAAGTTTACCAACATGGAATCACACTTGTAAAAAAGAAATTGAGGCAGACAGAAATCTCATGAATATCATGTTTACTAAACATAAAGCAACTCCAAAGCATACAATACACACACATAACCATGCCAAATACATGCATGCAACAATAATAGAAGAGCTATTCACATGAAAAACCTTCAGAATTTATTTTCTCTAAAACAGCAGAAGCACCGTTTTATCAGCAGTAGCACTAATGGGCAGAGCTCAGGCAGTTTTACATCATCTCATCCTTCCCTGAAAGCACAGGAGAAATCGCAACAAAAACACATGAACCTGGCATTTTCCATTATTGCCACTGTTCACAGCCTTCCTAGAAGCAATGATAGAATGGCCTGAAAATTCACTCTTTTGTCTCATTTCTGCATTAACAGCTGGTATAAGATGGAGAGAGATCTTTGTTTTCTGTTTGTATAGCCCCTAAACACAACTTCTCCTGACCATCCCAGCTGTAGTTTCCAGTTCTACCACAGCGCAAACAATAAAGGAGCTCCAAGTAATGGGTGACTTCCTTTACCAGATCCTCCCAAGCCTGGTGAAAATGGACAGACACCACAGGTGATGTATGGTAAGACCTTCTCCATATTCTAGCAGAAAAGAAGGTAAGAAGAGTTAGCAGGTCCCACCAAGCACTGGGCAGCAAATTCTCAGCAGCCAGTGGTTTTGTCAAGCAGGAGTCCCTCTTGCTCCTTAATGCTGCCTGCCATGTCTGGCAGATAAACCAGCCACTCTCAGACTGCAAGCAGAAAGAAGATGGAGGCAATAGCCTCAGCTGCTCCACAAGTCTCAGCCCTATCAACATTTCTGCCCTTATTCTGCTCACTGCTTTCCCTAACTTAACAATCACAGAATCAACTAGGTTGGAAAGGACCTTGAAGATCATCCAGTCCAACCATTAACCTAACACTGGCAGTTCCCAACTACACCAGATCCCAGTGCTACGTCAACCCGACTCTTAAACACCTGCAGGGATTGGGACTCCACCACCTCCCTGGGCAGCCCATTCCAATGCCCAACAACCCATTCTGGAAAGAAATGCTTCCTGATATCCAGTCTAAACCTTCCCTGGTGCAACTTGAGGCCATTCCCTCTTGTCCTATCACTTGTTACTTAGTTAAAGAGACTCATCCCCAGCTCTCTGCACCCTCCTTTCAGGGAGCTGTAGAGGGCGATGAGGTCTCCCCTCTGCCTCCTCTTCTCCAGACTAAACCCCCCAGTTCCCTCAGCTGGCTCCCCGTACGACCTGTGCTCCAGACCCTGCACCAGCTCCGTTGCCCTTCTCTGGACACGCTCGAGTCATTCAATGTCCTTTTTGGAGTGAGGGGCCCAAAACTGAACACAGAAATCGAGGGGCGGCCTCACCAGTGCCGAGTACAGGGGTCAGATCCCTTCCCTGTCCCTGCTGGCCACGCTAGTGCTGACACAAGCCAGGATGCCATTGGTCTTCTTGGCCACCTGGGCACACTGCTGGCTCCTGTTCAGCCGGCTGTCAATCAACACCCCCAGGTCCCTCTGTGACTGGCAGCTCTCCAGCCACTCCTCCCCAAGCCTGTAGCGCTGCTGGGGGTTGTTGTGGCCCAAGGGCAGCCCCCGGCATTTGGCCTCATTGAAACTCCTCCAGTTGGCCTCAGCCCATGGCTCCAGCCTGTCCAGGTCTCTCTGCAGAGCCTCCCTACCCTCGAGCAGATCAACACTCCCACCCAACTGGGTGTCATCTGCAAACTGACTGAGGGTGCACTCAATCCCTTGTCTAGATCATCAATAAAGATGCTATACAGGAATGGCCCCAAAACCAAGCCCTGGGGGACACACTTGTGACCAATGAATGAAGTGAAAACAAGTTTAGCTACTCCACTGCAAAAGTAGAAGAGATGAAAAATGGCAGGCATCAATCTACACCCTTTAATCACAAGCAGACATGAATCCCTGTAGATCCATATTCTCCATCCTTGTGTAAGCCTTCAGTTCGCACATTTATAGCTGTACTCCCATTAGCACTATCAGTTTGTGTGTTTGCAACTTCATGCTTTCCTGCTTCTGGGACAAAAGGTGTCCAAGAAGTAGTTGTTGTTTGCATCAGTAGACAGGATGGATCTAAGGGGTAAGCAGTTCATTCTGGAATAAAACCTACACATGTTAGTCCGTACCTCTTCTGCCTTTTTTAGTTCTACCACCACCCCCCTCCTGGAGCGTACACTATTCACTGTACAGCTGGAGGTGACCCACCTTTCTACCCATGTGCTGCTACACTGGCAGCTCATTTGATACCAAAATTGAAACCATTGCTGCTGTCTCAGCTGCAAGACTGATCTGGATTTAATATTTAGCACAGTTAACATGACAGACCACAACTTCTTAGAGATACGCTACTGTACATTAAAGGAAGTGTTTCTCTGTCAGCGTGGGGAAATGCACCGTGCCACCTGACAATCTCTTGTACCTCTGCCACTGGGAATTACAAAAGAACAGCACAGGAAAGGGACCTTTTCAATTCTATGTGACATGGACTAAAGTTATTTTTCAATAAGCCTGCCATCTCAGGTGAAGCCCTAAAGGAGTGGACAATGGTGTAGAACAGCAAGCAATTCTCCCACTTATTTTCCCACAGTTGCAGTATTCCCTGCCTCAGTTTTCAGTCTCACCCTCTCCTTCCCTTCCTTTCTCTCACCACATAAGTACAGAATTTGCATTTATAGCAGGAGGGCTACCGCTCCCCTTCTGCAACAGCGAAACAGGTAAGCAGGCACTGCTTTTCCAGGGCTGTCCCGCCTGTGGGAGTTCAGGCAGCTTCACTACCCTTTTGGTGCATAGCCTGACCTAGAACCGACTTGAGTTGCCATTGCTATGATCAGTCCCTCCAGCTGATTGTCTCTCACTATGGTTCAGCCTACTTGCATTAGCATCTGGTAAGAAATGGCTCGTATGAAACCAACACCCTTTTCTCTCTTCCCTCCAAGAAAAAAAAAATGGAGAATTACCACAACAAAGTGCCTCAGTGCTGCTGGATCTTCCTACTTCATGGCTTGGACAGATCCAGCTTGTCAGGGAAAGTGAAATTAAGTGGCGGCCAGGCAAAACCTTGTCCCTTGATTCAGCATGGCTTCAAGAGGAGCTACTGATTGCATGCAGGGGAGTCTAATGCTACAGAGAAACATCAGCCTTCACAGCTGCAGGATGTTTCAGTCATTTTCTTTCCAAAAAAAATCACCAGGTTGGAGATAGGCAGGTGGACACATGAATTTAGTATACTCCGTTTCTGGTTCTTTAACATACAGCACCATTAGATGTGAGACAGAAATATGCTTAAATGAGATCTTGCTATCTGTAAGGTAGGAAATCCATGACAACTAACAAACTCTGCTTGATTTCTGGCCTCTCATCCCTGATCTTCAAAGAAGGCCTAGAAAGCATTTGCAAATGCTGAATCTGGGAACAGAAATTCATAATCGTACTAGAGATTAAAAGTTATGCACTCATTAATTTTAATGGCATATTTACAATTCCTCACCACTCCCATAAAACACTTACTCCAGGTGATAATTACTTGCTTTTTTTTCCCCCTTTTTTTTCTTCCTTTACACCTAACAAACGTATCACGTCTTCCTTTGCTAACACTTCCACTCTACTCCGCAGGTCACCTTCTACCTCAGATGTCCAATTCATTAATAAAATTGAAGATAAACTCAGAGAAACTGTTCTCAAGCTGCATTTACTTCAGAAAGATCCTACTTCTCTCTCGAAAAGGAAGAGGAATTTCAGTTCCCAACAGCTGTATTTTTCTGACAATATCAGGTTGGCTTAACATAAAGATTACCTCCCCTAGTAAAGCTAAGCCAAATGGCTTAGACCACTAAGACCAAAGAAAAGAGAAAAAAACAGCTAATGAAAGATTCATCCTTTTTACTTCAAGAGACAACTCTTTGTAGCTTTGAAGCAGGAGACAACAATTACTGCTTCGCAGATAACACCCCTGGATCTAAAGGCACTACAAGAATTTTGTTCCTTAATTGCCGTGTTTCATAACATGGTCCCACAGTAGGCCTGATGACCTGAACCCATTAGGACTTTCAGGAATACCTTCTACAAAATACTTGAGTTACAGATGTTGATAGTCCTTAAGTATCTTTCATTTCTCATAACAATATTCAGAAGAGCTTTTACTTACTAAAAATGTAGAAGGTGGCATCATTGCTAGCATGAGTAGAAGGAACAAGTTCTTCATGTCTGCCTGTGGGAACAAAAAGATTATTGATCAGAATTCCTTGCTTCTTTGCTGCTTCTATGGTGGGAAAGCTAAGATACCATACAGTAAAAAATGGAGGTGAAACTAAAATCAAGGTGACAGAAGAAAAACAGTTTTATCACTACACTCCCTGGAGAGATGAAGGCAGCTGCAAAGACTGAAATTACCCTGCGCAGGAAGCCAGAATATAATTACGGAGTGCAAATATTTCCCTGAACTTTCCTCTGGTATTATGAGAGCACCATCCCCGGGCACAGCGGAAGATGCATGCTGTTGCATGTCTGCCCTCCCACCCTTTTACATATCCACATGATAAAATACTTAAAGATTGCAATAACTTGAACCAACCCAGTGTTAAGAAATTCTACAGTTTACATTTCTGTACCCTATATTCATTCTGCAGGGCTTGGTGAAGCTTCATGTTTGTCTTGGTGTGATCTTGCTTGTTTAAAATTCTACAGTTCATCATGGACAGCTATAGCTAGATGCAACATCAGTAGTTATATCCCTTCTGCAGAGCTAGAAAGGAGATCAGACCACACAGACTGGTATGGTAGCATACAAGAAGGTACAACAGTTCCTAAAAAATCAGGGAATTATGCACATTTGGGACCACAATACTTCACTGGTTCATTGCCTTTTGCTACTTTATCCTTCCTCTTTTGAGTTGCAGCAACCAAGTCCACACCAATCACCACTGTTTACAGCTGTGACCACGAACACTTCAGCCACTAGAGACTGCCCGTTTCTCATGAACATTTTCTCAAGACCAGTTGATCGAGCCCAGAAGGAAGAGCTAGACTAGATATTCCTAGCATAGTTTTATCTAGTTTAAGCTTCTTTCTAACTTGGGAAAGAGAAAAGGAAAGATGGAGAAATCTTTCTTTCACAGTGTGTAAAAGCATCAAGGAAGAAATGTTTATCGCATCTGTCACTGTAACAACATCTGTTTTAATATTAAAATTTCATATATAGCTTCTTTAGCCTGGCCTATTAAATCCAGATAAAATACAGAATGTATATCACCATTAACCACGATAATATTGATATAAAATAACTGTTATATGAGAATATCAAATCAGAAACAAATTATTCCCAAAATGAAACCTGTTTAATCTAGCACTTGCATATTTCACATTATTTCATGATGGGCAACAATTTTTCGCATAGTGCTAGGCCTCACTGAATCACAGCTCTTTACAAAGATTTTGACCCTCTCAACATTCACAATGCTGGGGATAAAAACCTTGTTCTTTAATGTTTTTCCTTTTGGATGTAAAGACTAGTAAGTGCTGAAAATTCGGTTGCACCAAATTCTGTGTGCAAAAGAGCAATGAACAGGGAAAATGTAACTGGGAAAAGCAGCACTGATAAGCCTCCCTCCCTATATACTGAATGCCAATCATATGATTCACAAGAAAATGAAACCATAGGAGCTTTCTATATGAATAGACTTTTATTAATTTTGGATTAGTCCTTAAGAAACTGAGGGAAGACTCTGTACCCTTTATCACCCACACATGCTACTACTTCTCTTCCCTTTCAAGTCAAGGAAAAAACAACCTGTAGATGCCCTCCACAAGAGGTCAAGTACACTTTCTATGCTGTGGAGGCCAGCAGCCAAAACATAGGCTAGATCTGGGTCACAACCCTATCCAACTGCCAATTCCTTTCAGAGGGGAAGGACAGCCAGGAGAGACCCTTTTTCTACAAGTTCCATGCATGCAAACAGCAAAGCTTTCCTGAAGCAGCTTATAATATCCACACACCGCTAGCAAAGGGCACTGTGAGAACAGAATCTGCCTTGAACGGTGCTGGTGTTAAACAGAGGTAAATCTTTGAGACTGATGAGTTCTTTCTACTGCTCAGAGGAAAAAATAGCTCTTCCCCAGCATTCCTCTCTCACATCTTCCATTCCAGGCACCTCTCAGGTTCATGGAGATGGCTGTGGAAATCACATCCCTAGCTCTGCTGCTAAGGGACTGCCCCCTCAGCTCCTTCTGGCATCTCAGCCAAGAGGCAGACAGGGAGCATGTGAGGCTCCTGGGGAGGAAGCTAGAGAAGCAGCTCACCAGGGACAGTAGTGCTCCTACTCTCAAAGTAGTTAGTAACTTAGAGGTTTTTAGCCAGAGAAGACAAAAAGATTCTCTGAGGAGACAACTAAAGACAGCACTCAATATTTGGGACAATCCCCTGCATCAAAGCAGCAAGAGGTTAGAGCTCTGGTGCTTGCTTGTATTTTTGTGCCATTGCACTTGCATGGGAATTACTGTCATATGTCCCAAATTTAGCATTAAAAAGTTTAGACCAACCAGCCCTTTTAAACTAGTCAACAGATTCCAGGAAAGATGGTCAGAAGAAAGAACAGGGCCTTCTGTATCCTATTAAATCCCCCACTGCAAAAAACAAATCTTGTGTCTGATTCTCTGAGCTGCAACAACTTGTTGTTTTAAAAGCTTCCTCGGATGTAGTATTCAGCATTGATCCCTTTTGCCTTACTTTCAACCACAAACACCACAGATGGGACTGCGGAATCTGCCTGAAACCTTTGAAAAAACGTCAGGTTCCGTTTGCAGATTTAACGGCTCTTACCCTCCTTGCAGGACCTGGATACGGCAGCATATGTTTATTCTGCTTGTTTGCCATTCTTCTCACTGAAGGCTGAGTATGCGGGGGAAGGAATGAAAAGGATAGTGTTTTGCAGTGCTTTCACTTGCAACAACAGCAGCTGCTGATCCCTGTGCCTCCTGCCCTTCTTCAATTCTCTTCAGAGCTCCCCAGCTCCCTTTTCCCACTGTGTGCTAGAACAGCATCTCCACCCCCTCCACCCAGAAACAGCAGCAGGGCCTGAGGGGAAACGGTGACTTTATGCTTAAGATATGGAACAGCTGCTGGAAAGCTCACATGGAGGAATTCCTGCCATAGTGCTAAAATGTGAAGTTCTCAGCAAAAGAGATTACGAGAATGAGTTTACAATCACAATAAGCAAGGAACAACCAGAACCTTCAAGCAGAACTAGAGGAGCGTCCAGCTGAATCCTCCATTCCATGCACCAGAAGAGATTCAAATTGTCTAGGCAACCGCACCTGGCATTAACTGCTCAGGTCAGATGAATAAATTGCTTGAAGTGGTAACTGATCCCAGCCATCCGTAAGACCGGCCAAAAAGAGTCAGTCCAGAACTGAACTATGAACCTGTTCTGTTCTAAGAGACACTGACTCGAGTTCCTTTGAACACTGGAGAAGTTCAAACTTGAATCTGACTTTAGCAGTCCAGGACCCCTATCCCAGAACAGTATGGTTCAAATCATACTTCGTGGAAATTTCAGAAGCTTCTGAAAGGATGTTCTGTCACTCTTTCTGAACGGCCTCCACAGCACCTACTTCTCCCTGGCACTGTGGACAAGAGGGCCACAAAGGAGATGGCTGGACTTTCGTAACTCTGGACAGAACACAACTCCAGTACAACTGGAAACTAGGATAAGCACCTTTATTTCTGAGAGGGCTGTCCCACTCAGGAAAGAAGCTTTTGCCTTAACAAATAGAAGGTCTAGAAAAGAGAGATGGGCAGTCAAGAGATTTCTCTATAGTGGAGCCAGTAGTGAACGGCTGTAAAAATCTTTTATTTAACTACAAACTCTTATCCAGGGCCAGGCAGGCTTAGCAAGATCAGTCAAATCCTCGTTAAGACCAGAAGTATGTTTCAGAATCAAGGACAGTTTTAATGACTCCTATATTTACTTTATATGTGCAAATCCTGCCTTCCAACACACAAAGTTCACGATTGCTTACTTAAACTTGGCCTCTTTTCCAAATAACCTCTCAACATCCATGTTCCTAGGGAAATAAGACCTACATCACCTGTATATATGACTAAAACCAATTTTGAATCAGCTGGCTAATTTCAGGGTTTCAAAAGCACAAGGTTCACTTTTATTAGAGGGAAAATATGCTGGACCAGGATCAAGAGACATATTGGATTTATAACCCATTTAGATGATGAAACAGGAGGGAATGCAAACTTGTGAGAGATGTTACAAGCTTAAACAAGAGCTTAAGCTGTTTAGACACTGCAGAGTCAGATCATAAAGTCAGAATAAAACAGGTTTCATGAGTTCCATTGCTCAGATACATTGGTCTTGGTTTTTCTCTGTTCTTTTTGAAAATAATTGGACTTCCAGCGTTACATGGTTCTTCTCTGTTTAGCACATAAGACAGATCAGTCTTTTGCCTGTGACCCATATTTCTAAATGATCCTTTGGCCAAATACACATACCGCATATGTGGGTCAGGGACTGTTCTGAGAGTGGTTTATAGGCAGAAGATAAAAAGACCCCTTCAGGGTTCTCACTTTTCTATTGCCAGACAAGATTTGCCTGGGCATGCAGGTAAGGGGCAAAGTCACCCAGCAATACTAGCTTCAGCAGGTCTTTACATCTCATTTTGTCTCCCAGCTGGGGATTTGGATTACCCAGCATGGCTCTATTATCCCCACCTGAGGCAGCCCTGACACAGAAGCTGCCTTTGCAGGGCTTGAGAGCCACAGGGTTGGCCACGCCAGCAATAAACTTTTGCCTCTTGCAATATAGATGGAAATTGCTTCTTGTGAAGTTTAGCACATCCAGCACTAAAGCAGAAGTTGTCACGGTGATCCCACTACTCACACCTTTTCAAAATTTCATTTCCTTTCCTCCAGTCCCAACTCCACCCCCCTTTAACACATCATATCTCACTCAGTTGTTATATTTTTAGAAGTTTGGTTGAATGAGGTGGGAAGTCAGAAAGAATGATGACGTGCTTCCCAATAATCCACTGACATTTTTTTTAGCTATTGACTCAGGGCAAAGTCTTTAGTTTTAGATTCATTACATTTTCTGAAGACATTATGATTTTTGTTTTGCCCTCAAAACATCCAGCATATCTTAGTTTCAGCTTGCTTTTTTTGCCTCGCCTACTAGAAAGCACCCTTTTAAGTTTTTGACGGAA